TTAAAAAGGTGAGTTATTACTTCCAAGAATGTAGAGTTTCTTAGTCATCAAAATAACAAATATTTTTAACTTGCTTTTAACGTTTAAAATCGTATAAATTATTTTCAATCGATCAGTAGCTCTCTAAACTAATAAACGTATTATTTTCATTTTCTTAATATCAACAATTAACCTTGTTTTACAGCAATCAATAATACTAGTTTCACCCACGTCATATTTATTCTGTTACTGTGTCGCATCTCTGCGGCGCGCACGCACGTGCTAAACGTTTATCATCATTTTTTCCCTCTAAAAACACTGTCAGATTTTTATTGCTCAATCAATTTAATTTTGTGAGGTTTTAAAACCGATCTGTGACCGTATTCTTGTTTAGTAAGTGAAACAGAATAATTTCAGATTCATGTTTTTTTAGAGTTATCGTACATCCTAGCTTACCCAACCCGTCTGGCTATCGTGGGGAGTATAGACAAATGTCCGTTTTCACCATTAATGCCTAATTTTTAAGTGACACCTATGAAAACAAAATTCCTGTTATACCCTAGGGGTCACTTAAAAATCAGGGATTGATGGTGAAAACTGGCATAAATCCTCTATCTGCCTCTCTTAATTAGAGAGGGTCGTGTTACTGCAGTGAAGACTGACGTTTGTATTCACAAACATTACTATGAGGTCTCACAGTACGCATGGATGCACAGGGTGACACACAAACCAATTAAAGAGCTCTATTCAACGATGTGCGTTCGATTTTTGCTTCACTTAAGCAAGCATCGTTTGTGAATACGGGCGTAAGTGGCCTGATGATGATGAAAGTGCACTTAACTAGATTTTACAGTAATTTCGGAATTTGACTTGACTTATGGTCCTATGTCCCCTAGATGGGGCAGAGGGCGTCCACAACAGTCCTCCATCTCGTTCGGTCTTGAGCTTCTCGCTTGATCTCGCTCCAGCTCGCTCGGTTTTGCCGATCTTCTTCGCCTCGTCCGCTACAGTGCGCCGCCAAGTTTCGGAATTTAAGTAACCATTTTCCTATGACTTTCAGAACTGATCATTTGAGAGGAACCGAAGTGTGACGTTTCGCGTATCCCATATTTCTTCCACTCGCCTACGATCAGCAAACGTCGGGAGTCCCGCTAACGGTCACTCAATAACAATAAAAAGGTCCTCATGCGCATTCTTGCCACGTACGCCCCCGCTTGTCGCCAGACCACCTATTTCCGAAATTGATATACATTACTTACAAATCACTCGACACACCGCAAATCTTTATCACCGAACCCATAAAGTCTAATTCCGGTTGGCTCGTCTGCTTCCTTAAATTGGTCGTGAAAATCTCCAGTTTATCTTGAACTCGGTCTTAGAACAACATTCAAGCATTCAGCGGTCAATTTATAGTAGCAGGTTTTCGCCTTATGCGTCCGCTATCCATTTCCTTCGAAGCTCTTCTTTCAAATGAAATGATAGAGTTCACGGGTCTATATATGCTGGACATTTTCCTTATGCTTGACCGTTTTGGTTTCTAGCCTGGTACCAATTGCTTAAGAAATATTATTAGTCTGATGGCATAGGGGACGTCCAGTTGATGGAATAAAAAGGTCGTGTTTGTAAGTGCTGAAATTGACTCGACGTTTTTTGTGGGGCACTTACACTTCTAGCTATGTAATATACAGTTCGGTTTCGCTGTTTTTGTGAAGATAAAATTTTGGGCTTGATACAGTTTGAATAAGCTGTATTTTGATTTACATACTTTTACGATGAAAGCGAGCTATTTACTCGCAAAAATTGAAGCCTGGAAAAGTACCCTTTTTACGAAAAATCGTGTTTTCAAGCTTGAAATCGAGTAAAGTAAATAAACAAAAAGCACACTTCTCTATTTGTATTTATATCAATCGTGCATGCAAAAACATAATAGTTCAGGCAACTGAATGATTAATCCAATCATATCGGTTTTTCTATTTGACAAAGATCTACCAACAACACATCTTTACACAAACAAGTAATGCATGCAATGATGATATTGCTTGATCGGAGGATTTACTATTTTAGTCATAACTCATACCTATTTTGAACCCTTATAAAAAAGGAAAGTTAACATTGCGTAAATCAACCCTCCAAATGCATCTACAATAATACAAAACGCACACTGCGCGTTTGAAACGCTACATCCGATGCAGCGTGCGATAACCGAACACGGCGTGGGCGGGCCGGGGGCGGGACGGGCACGATACGACGATACTATCGGCTAATCAATTAATTCGGACCTCGGACAGCGTGTGTTTTGGCGTCTAAATTATATTGTTGATTTTTTTGCTACTTTCTTTGCGGATTGAGTCTTTGAAATTATAGTTCTAGTATTTTGCAATGTGCACGGGCCATTCACTTTATTTCTCTAACCATTGGGCCAGTGGAAACTGCCAACTTTTCAAATAAGTAAGGTCATAAACAATGACACTAAACTATCCATGTATTTAAAAATTGGGTAAACCTATTTTTGATCGCAAGTTTAATTTTAGGTAAAACAGATAACTGAATAAGTAATACATAAGGAAACAGATAATATTCAGCCTATTTACTGTTTGTGACTACATCTACCGGAAAATCTAAATAGGCGAGTCGTATCGAATGAATTTCAGCCATCCGATCACGTAACGTGGAAATCCATCATCACGACCGTTTCACGAGGCGGTGCCGGAAAAAACGAGCGGTGAGAAAAATGAAAAACCCGGTCAATGGCTCGATGGCTACGGCTCCATTAAGATCCCCATAGCTGTGGCAAGTTAAGGCTCGTATCAAGAAACAGGTCTTTTAAAATTAATTCCAACTCAAGCATAGATTCAAACTAGAAATTGGGTGAATTTCTTTCACAATATTTGGTTAATTCGAGAATGTTTTTTCGCTTTCGAGAACAAAAACAATTAAGTCTAATTTCAGGGCAACTTGTATTGCGTTGCGACCCTGTAATTTGTATACCGTCTTGAATCTGAGCTCGAGTTGAAATCAAGTTGTGGTGGTTTCAGAATATGAGACTAGGCGTTTTTATGTGTAGGTATACATTAGACCTTGTACTATCAGTGAATCATTTTCAAAGTCCAAATGCTAAAGATAGTCTACAGTTATTCAAAAACAGGTAGGTAGGTAATGTTCATTAGCAATTTATTTTAATTTTCACGTGCGTTGTGCAGTTTTCAGCTGTTTTATTTTTACTAATAATATTAGTTTTTCCGTCTCTTTCATACATCAATAAAAGAAATAGATGAAGTCAATGTACCTACATTTTTTTCGGTCAAGACCCTTTGATTTTACAATCGATTTTACGATTCATGCATGTTAGTTTTCCATTGTGTGTATTCCATTTTTATTTATTTTGCGTTGCATGTGCATGCTTTAGTGCCTTAAACCTACCTAGTACATAGGAGAGACCGAGCAAAGTTTTGGAAACTTATTAAGAGCGTTTACGTCTAGCGTGGCATGTCAAGTTTAGGTAATTTCGATGCTAGTTTTATTCACACTAAAATAATTATGACTGTGTGCGTGTTCTCACGCTCTATAGTCGAACCAAAATACTTTGATCCACCATCGTAAAAGTGTGCCAGGCTGTCAAGTGACAGCTCAAGGAAACTATAAAATATTCAAATCTTCCAACACCGACTCCATAATTATAAATAATGGTATACATTAGTCCTAATCAATAATAAATATTATGTTCAGCAGAAAAAAAATTGAATTTTAATGGTGAGAGATTTTTTCAAATCGTTTCTATTCAAAAAAAACTTTTCCTGTTTACTATTCTTTTTTTATCCGAAAAATGCATAACATTTCATACCCATCAGCTGCGGGGGCAGCTAGTGGGTTATGTGGGGTTCTTCCTACCAGAAGATGGGTAGCCCCTACACCCACTAAAAACCTGACTGTTTCTGCCATGATCCATACAACATTTTTGTCATTCCGGGAACGGTTGATCATTTTCGGGAACGTTACAATATTTCAATAAAATACGCATAAATGGAGGTATTTCAATATTATGTATATATTTATTACATTACAGAACTTTTGTTCTGTACATATTACGTTAATTCGATTAAAAGAGTTTTAAATATTATGAAATTTCTTAAATTGTATGCGGAATAATAGCAACTGCTTTATTTTTTTGACGTATTTTGCTTGTAGAAAATTTTGAATGTATTGATTTCATTATTGCTTCTTCAAAATAGATACATAATATACCCATGTTTTAAACAAAGCTCAAATTATGCGCTTTGTTTGGTTTTTCCGGGTTTTATGAAACTTAAGAAAACGTTCCCGAATTGATGGTTTTCTGCAAGATATTTACTACTAAGCAATATTACTAAAAAAATAAAGAATTCTGTGCGCTGCCCTGTCAAGGTTTAAAAATATACAAATTAAGCAACAGTATAAACTAATAGTCATCATTATAGCTTGCAATTTTTTTTGTCATAAAACCGATTTTGAAATTCGCAACCTTGGTGATTTTGAGCCTTAAATGTTTGGTTTTTCTAAAAATATAATTGGTAAACAGTATCTGGCGAATATTGTGTACCTATGTGACTAAGAAAACAAGATTGTGTATCCATGATACTGGTTTTTGTGAGCGCTTGTTTGCATTCAACCTAGAGCTAATTAAGTATCAAAATGTAAATGCGACTCGGCAAAAAATATATGAAAGTATATTCTTTTGAGAATATCTCGGGGGGCAGAAGTTGCTCGCGTCCGTAGGAAACACCACCTTTTCCGAGGCCCACCCTACACGTGCCCCCTGGGTGGTGCCAAATGAGCGACAACGCCGAACAACAGGCGGCGGTTAAATAACCTGACCATCTGGTGCACCATAAACCAAGGAGGACTAAATCCCTCCTAAAAGCATGGCCATGTCACCTTGGGAAAGCGACATGTGTAATCCTCCCATCCCCCTCCACTCCCCCCACACCTCAATAATCCTCACTCCTCCCCATCAACCCACTCCTCTCCAGTCTCCCACCCACCACACCCTACATAGCCGAACCGTGGCGGCGCATAACCACACCGGGCCCGCAAAGCCCTGGGGCACTAAATACCCCCTAAAAGCTCGCACCACACTTTCACCATGGGCAGGTGGCAGTGTGCGTTACTATCTTCCGCCCGCACACCTTATGATGGCAGACTTTAACACGCTCACTGCGTTATGAGGTCTAAAAAGCCACATGCAGAACTTACCGCAGGTGCGGCAGTCATAATCGCGTTCTCTCACTCTGTGCGGGGTGCGACTATTTTAACATTTCTATGAGTACAACAGAGACAAATATATCAAATTGCTTCTCTTACGAAGCCTAGCATAATGACGTAGACAATATTGTATGAGGTCGATTAGGTCCCATACGCACTGGATAGAAATTAATCACGTTCAGTGCGCCGTGAGGTCTGAACTTCCTCAAAAATTGCAGGCCTCATAACCGCACAGGGTGAGGTGCGGGCGCCGCGCATTTAGAGTAGTGATGTGATAATTAGTTTCGATACGAACGCACGCTGTTAGCCGGTGACACATTAACACTGACTTTTTAACTAAAAATGGCATTTGTATACACTTAACGTACGTATTTATTTCAGGTATTCTTAGTGGCAGATAATAATAATAATAAATATTTTTGGACATTTTACACTGCGCTTCTAGTCCCAAACTAAGCAAAGCTTGTACTAGACAACGGATAAAACATACTTAAATACTCTTTTTTGGAAATACATACATATTATTATACATAGAAAACACCCAGTCCAATACAACAAATATGTTCATGCACACAAATACTGTGCGGGAATCGAACTCGCAACCTCCGGAATAGTAGTCCGTTTCGAACTACTAGGTACACCAAACGGCCGACAATGATGTGCTGAACATTCGCTTAAAAAAGGTGGTCAACGACATACTCTCTAATCTGTGGTCAACGAAAGCGCTGCGTAGGTTGCTATGACAGATTAAGACTAACACTAAATAGCACTCAGGCTGCAAAAAAAACTAAAAAAAATTTAACTTTTTGTGTTCTGTGTGACAAATCCTACTGTTTGCCCTGTTTTAATGAAAAACACTTAAATTAAAAACAAATATTATAATTTTATGGTAACTGAAATTTTGTTTTATTCCCATCCCTAGTCGAGACACAAATTGGACTTTCTTTCAGTGCGAAATGAGGCAGAAAAGATGTCATATATATTTTTTTAATTTATTCAATACCAAAATGTCATAACTGCGGGCGAAGCTAGTTTAAGGTTAAACATCTATTTAAGTTTATAATAGAAAAGTTTCAAGCCAATATTGTCTTTTCTGAGCTATATTTAAAGTATTTTTAGAAACAATATTTTGTGAGGCAGAAAAGGTCTCATACGCACTGTAAAGAAGTTCAATATTGACTCGAAAAGACCTCATACGCACTGGCTGAAAGTCTACGAAAAATGGTTTCGCAGTGAGCGTGTTATAAGATATTCTTCTATTATATTAAGCTATTTTTGTGTTGAATAAAGGAAGAATATTGGTGAAAAAATCACTTTGATTTTTGGGTATTTCACGTTCTTTTAATTTGTGATTTCTTATTGTAAAATGCTTAAATCTAAAAATTTTCTCAGATAACTATTTGCCCAAGGATCTATGCTATAGGATATAAATGTTTGTTAAATCGTTTTCACAGTATTTATATAAAAATTTCAGCTTGTAAACTGACGCTAAAGTGGAAATTTACAAAACCTGTGTGGACTTATCTTGATAGAATTCTTAAATGCTAAACTAATCGCAATATTTTCTCAATTAACTATTTAGACGACGAAATTGCCTAACTATTTATGCCTATAACATATTTGTAGTATTACTGGTTAATGATTGTAACGAGTTGAAAAAGTACTGTTTTTGCGCCAAACGGCGTAAACGCTCTTAACTATTTTAGCGAGCACGCAAGTAGTTAATAAGTTCTAAAAATCGACATGTTACAACTCTCCTCGGTCTCTTATATACAGCTAAATAAATCATGAATCAAATCATTAATTTCGACTTTGTTTGTGGTTTTGGTTACTCTCGGTGATGGACTGATGGTTTTTCTCCAACCACTATGTAAAGTTACTAACCACACTTTATCTGTTCTGAGCATTTTCACCCAAAGTAACCGACTAGCTAGTATCACCCGCCACTAACATTGGAAGATAACACCGAGGCGACCCAGGCCTGTTTGGAAATCGTAAGTAGATTAACCTTTTTTTCTTTTTACTGTGAAAAATTCATACTGGCATATAAATGTACAGTGGACAGCACAATACATTCCTCTTACAAAATAGGACTTATTACATCTAAATAAGATATAAGCAATTTATATCTACCTTGATTGCCTTGAAGTGCCGTCTATACATATTTATGTTCATTTTTTGGCCTGGTAGAAGTTTTTCACAGTTTTATTTTGCTTATTTTTATTTGTTTCTATTTCAGGTTTTGTAGTTAAAATGTTGATAATTTTAATGCGTAGTGTAGTTAAAAGCTTATTAACGATTTTATTATTAGTAGTTTATTTTCATGTGTTGTTGTTAAATGTAGATAACATGATGCGCATTTCAGTAGCAAGTAGCTTATTAAACGATTTTTTCTTTACAAGATCCATGCTAACTAACAAAGCTTTACTAATTCACGCAAATACAGATATTAAAATATCACTAAATATTCTAGCACTGATAAAACATGTACCGCGACCACTAACCCTGCCCCTGCGGTATGGGTCCGTTCGACCCGAAGGGCTAATAAGTGAAACGCAGATTTATGACCGCACAGATATGCAAATAGAAATTTGCGGTCCCCAGCCGATAAAAAGACGGCCGGCCCGGGGGATGTCAGGCCAACTGTCAGGGGATCACGGCTTATAATTATTTCGGATAGATATGACGTGTCGCCGAAGTAAAGTTTTAATGGAACGGACTAATGTGGTGTAGAATGCTGCCATGCTATCGATTATGGCGTCAGTTTGAAGCAATAGGCACCTACTACAAATTTACGCTTAGTTACGTAATTTTACAAATTATTGACTTTTTGTATGCTTGAAAAAAATGTGCAATGTATTTTTTTGAAACAAAACACGTAAGAATTTTTGTTTTTAATTTATGGTCGCTATTAATAGGTATTATGTTGTGTGTAATATAACCTTAGCTGCAACTTGTAATACCTACTCGTATAGCTTAAAGAGTTCTTGGTTATGTTGTATACCTACCTACTTACGTGAAAATTAAAGAAAATCTGTAATTAAAAGTCTAAATCAGTAATTCATACCGCTTAGATAAAAACCTAACCACAGTTTAGTGTCTTCTTTATGGGTTAAATTGATACATTATGGAGCGTGCCAGTCCTAAAAACATGAATCTTACAACTTCGTCACAGGATAAGTCCCCGGTCGTAAAGACCCCTCTGGAGGGTTATCTCTGATTTGTAAACCTTGTTAACCAGATCTCGTTGGGGACTTTCAGGACTTTTGGGATAAATGAATCGCTAATTATTGCCACCGGTGCAGGTTGATGGGATCATAAGCCTCGCTATTTTGACTGCAATGCGACAAACTGGGACTTTTCTTTGTCTTGCCGTGTTATAAGACGGAGAGATGGCTGAAATTTAAATGTTTTAAAATTGAGTGTTGTTGGTTAGTTAGTCAACGTAACAACTCAATTGTTTTGAGTACGTATAGGTACCAAATGTCGGGAGAACTGTAGAAGAATTCGACGTAATAGAAGGTAGGTATAGGTAGGATACCTATCTATAGATTTATTATTATTCTGTGTCTATAGTACTTAAATACCTATAGCAATATTCTTTAATAAGCATACTATCTCAACGTATGAAATTATAATATGTACTTACGAATATAGGTAAGATAAAATTCTTTTTCTTGTCTATATGTCTGTCTTGTCTTGGATCGTCTTTTTTTATATTTCAAAGTTGTTTTTACTTTCATCATGCTCATTTTACCGTAAAATTTTATTCCATTTCCACAAACTTAAAAGAGCCGCCAATATTAGTCCAAACATGCCAATGTTGTTTGCCAGCACTTGATCAAATGTCGCTGCTCCCTTCGCACGCTAATGAGCAAACAGGACAGGCGACGTGATCACAGTCTGGAGGCTCGCTTTGATAGGGATACGCCAATTAGAAGTAACATACACGGTCTACTTGGGTATATAGGTAGAGGTAAATAAGAAAAGTTCAATGAGTCGACGGTGAGGTGATCTTTTCGTGCCTATTTACCTTTTTATTAGGGTTCCGTAGCCAAATGGCAAAAAACGAAACCCTTATAGATTCGTCATGTTTATCCCCTTAGAACCGTATTTTTGATTGCAGTTTTCCTGAAAAATGTATTGCGGTATACCTAGTAGATTTTTAGTAAAAAGCTGACCGTAGTTTTATTTACCAGATAACGGTGTGTGGTAAACGCTAATGAACTTTAATTTTGAACATACAAAAATACAAATAAATAGAGCTCGGACGTGAACCAATTTCAGTTACAGTTTTGACAAACTTTCCTCTTTCCATTTTGTGCCAAAGATAAATATGAAAAAGTTTTGATATAGGAAAGTTCTTCGTTTCAAAAGCATTTCAGCCACTTATGTATAATCAATCAGTTTTTGTCTTTTAAGTAGAGTAAGTACCTAGCTACATAGACATAGATACCTACTTGAAAAGAAGCACTCGATAAATCGACACCCTATATACCTGTCAACCCTCCACCGCGGGTGTGTTAATACTGACCGGCCCTAACGAGCTGTGACCACATGAATATGCACGCGACGGATTCATTAAACGGTATGCCACCGGGTAATTTAATAATTTGTCGTTCCACCGCGATACTTGTAGGGTTTTTGATGTCACGTGATAACCTAAACGATGAGTCCTTTATGAAAAATACCTATTGACTTTATCGAGAATTGACACAGTCATTTGTCATTTTGAGGGTCATTTGTCATTTTGTTTGAGGTTCGAGATCAAATGCTGCATTTGATCATAAAATATCCCAATTTGGGTACCAAGAGTCAAAGAGTTCCTTTTTTTTTCTGTTCAAATAGGCTTGAAACTGTAATTCAGAAATAATCAACAGGTGAATTCATTTAATTAGAATGCCCAAAGACTAGAAAAACCTATGCTTAAAAAACTTAACCCTCACTTAAAAGTTGGAGTAAATAAACCAAAGTGTCAAAACAAAAACTTATCAATTCCGCGGTTAAAATAAATATTTCCCCAAAAAAGAGTTATCGAAAAAATAAACCACTTGCAATTAAGAGCAAAAATTTCACGCCCATTACTCGCAAGTGTTAAAACTATAAGTATGTGGTTAGACCGGGAGCTGCGCGCGCGCATTGTTCGGTAATAACGGCCCGGCGCCGCTGGCGACATCTGCTGCCTATAATTATGG